GAAGTCCCAGAGCTGCAGGGAGGGGATGGATGTTCTTAACACCGCTGAATTCTACACTTAAAATCGGTTGAAATCATAAATTTTATGCTACGTATACTTTATTATAATAAGTATAAAAATAAAAACAGACCCCGTTTTTGCCACCGCATCACGGGTGCAGTTATGTTCATTTTAACTGAACCCCCCACGTTTCCACGCTGTTCCTCAGACTCCGTAACGACCGTTTTTAACAGCCTGTCAGTCACAGGTCACTTTGCAAGAACGCGTTTCCACCCCTTTCCTCCGGAGTTACCTCGGCGCACATGCCCCGCGCGGGGATTCGTGCTTCCTGACAGCGCTCGCTCATATATTGTCCTGTTTTTGTATCACCTTCCGTCCGCTTTGCTTTTCGGGAGCACTCACACCTGCGTTTATACCCCAATTTTCCCCGCGGCGTGTGTTTCTCTCTCATTGGTGGCTCATTACCATGACAATTGTTTTCACTGTTCAGGTTCCAAAAGGCAAGTTTTTTGGGGAGAGAAAAAAAAAAAGTTGAATTGTGAAGGAAAATGGAAACTTGGGAAGAAAGCCTGGCCCGAGGTTGTCCCGGGAGCCGGAGTGGGGCTCGCGCCTCAGCGCCGGGCATCGGCCTGTCTGCCGGCGGCCGCGTTATTATTGGATTCGAGAGAAAACCGCCCCCGTTCCGCGCTTTCCGTTGCAGCCAGAAGCTCAAGAGGGTTGGGCTGAAGGAGAAACTGCAGCAAACAGTGTCCGTCCCGGGCTCCGCCGGGGGCAGGACCATCCGGGAGGGGAGGCAAGGGAGAGAATTGCCTTTAAGAGGCAGTTTATTTTTTTTAACGTCTGAACGTATTTCAAGTCCAATTATTCTTCAAAGGCGGTGGCAGGGAAGCCGGGCGGTTTCAGTTTGTCTTGGCTCCCGGAACAGGACTGTCCGCGCTAAGGGCTGAGTAGTAAATGGGACAAGGGGACATCTGGGTGCCTGCGCCCGTTTTCCTGGAGGCATCGGGCGCTGTTCCGGCCGGACCGGAACACCTGTCGACAAGGGAGGTGGTCGAGTCCCAATAGCACAGAGGACGGTCGGTGTCCCTCTGTCCCTCACGCTGTTCCCAGAGCAGGCACCGGGCGCCTGTGGTGCCGTCTTTCCTGTTCCCACCTGCCGGTTTCTGTGTCTCTCCCGCGTCCGAGCACCTCGGGGACGGAGCTGTGCCTTGGTCACACGTCCCTGACACCGTGCCAAGCACCAGGCGCAGTCAGAGGTTCGATCCACAATTCCCTAGTGAACGGTCAAGGCTGGGAATCAGCAGATCGACAGAGGTCCGCTCGCACCGGAGGGTAACGCGTTAATGAAAATAACCGCACGTTTTCCATTTTAATGGTTCGGTAAACAGAACGTCTCTCGAGTCTGCAAACGTGTCCTTCGAGCGAGTGGCAGCTTGNATTGCCATCGTCTCTCGAGTCTGCAAACGTGTCCTTCGAGCGAGTGGCAGCTTGGCTGATGGGTGCGCAGGGCGAGGCTGGGGAAGGTCGACCGGTTGGCCGGATGTTTAAAAAGCAGTTGGCTGCTTGGAATGAATGGAGCGGAGGTTCTGCCTGGAGCCTAACTGGCCGCTAACCCGGCCCCGGCCCGGAGAAGACGGCTCTCAACGGCTTCCGTTCGCCGGTGGACGTCTCAGCAGAGACCCCCACAGTCGGCTTCCCCTGCGAGGACTCTGATGGCGAAGGGAGGGGACGGACCCAGAGGAGACCAGGCCACAGACGCCTGTCTCCCTGCTGCTTTCTGGAAGACGGCCGTGTTTGCGGGAGGGGATGGCACCGACGGGGCAGGTCCCTGAGGGGCACGGGCGGCCATGGGACACGAGGCTCGCTGTGGAAGGAGGGGGGCGGCCTGGCCCCCTGAGACGCTAAAGGTGGGGGGCTAATTCTGGGGGCTTTTCCGAGCCTTCACATCAGGGGTCCTGTTATATTCCTGGTGAAGCAGGAGGTGGGTCCTCTGCGGACAGTGAGCAGGGCAGGTTCAGGGGCTGGAAACAGAGAAAAGACCCGGACCCTCTGCCCAGGTGCAGGGGGGGCTCAGCCGGAAGTGAGACATCGAACGGCAGGGCCCCCCCCGGCACTGTGGCTCGGGGTCCACTAGGGAGCGGGAGAGCTGCTGGCAGCGCTGCTGGGGGGTCCAGGGCCCGGGGGAGTCGGAGCCAGAGGGCTGGTTCCCTGGGAGCGGGGGTCAGGGTCAAGGAGCCCCGGGGAGACGAGGCTTCCGAAGTGATGGCGGTGCGGGGTCAGGAGGCAGTGGGGGGGCAGAGAGGAGCAGTCGTCTGGGAATCTTGAGGCTGCCGGGCTGACCGCTCAGAGCTGCCCCTGTTGGAAGAATCCCCAGGACACGCTGACCCTGGCTCGGGAGGCGAGGAGGCAGCCGAAGGGACGGCGGGGTCTGGGCGAGAAGGGGACGGAGGAGGGAAGAGGCAGCCAAGGAAAGGGGCAGCTGGGCCGCTGGTGCAGAGACCGGGGCTGGAGGTGGAACCTCCCCAACGCCTCCGGGCGGGAGCTCGGCCCGGTGGCTGGACGGCTGGACGTCGGGGTCCCCAGCGAGAAGAGCTCCCCGGGGGCCTCTCTTTCTCTTCAGCGTCCTCTGGTTTCCACTCCCGGGGTCGGGACGGCCCCCGGCCCGTCTCATTCCCCCTGGGTCTGGGCCCCAAGCATAGCAGGCCTGGTGGGGGCGGAGGGAGGGGCACCGGGCGGGCGCCAGGAGCCCCGAGGTCGCCAGGCAGCCCCCGGAGCACAGCGCAGGGGAGGCAGCCGCTGGTCCCTAATCACCGGCTGCCGCCCCGGGGGGGAGCGTGTGTTTCAGGCTGTGTCACGCCGAGTCTCCCGTTACTGACAAAATGAAATGTTGGCACCTGTGGGGGCTGGAGAGACAGAAGTTTCCAAACTCCCTCCAAGCCTCTCTGAAAGCTGTCAGTTTGGAACTGCAGGTTTGGCACGAAACGGGGAAGTTTTAATGAAAACATCTCCAAGTTCAGGGAGACGGCCAGCATGCAGTCGTTTCTCCATTTTATGTCGCCTTTCAGCCACGCAGAGGGAGTTGTCTGAAATTAAAGAAGGCTCTCGCTTCTGGCCACAGGGCTCGCCTTGGGTTTCTGGGCGCCCACGACTAAGGAACTGGCTCTCGGACGGCAAAGTCTCTGGAAGGGAAAAGGCCCCAGAACCCCTTCCTGGGGATGGAGCTTCCTGCTACATTCGGGGGTCCTTGTCCCCTGGTTTGACTCCCCAGGGAGGTGGTTCTGGACACACCCACCTTTTTCCCCACCTGTTTTTTGGGGACACAGCCACCTTTCTCCCCACCCTTGCAGGGGCCCCTCCCTGGCTTAGCTTCCACAACGCTCCCCCTCCTTGACCCACAGGGTCCCGTGTGGACTGGCTCCCTGGGCCTGTCTGACCTCATTCCTGCTGCCCTCCTGGCCCCGAGCCTCCTCTTTATACAGCAGATAAGCAAGCGGGCTCCTGCCCCAGGCCCTTTGCACCTGCCATCCTCTCTGCCTCAAGGCTCCACCCTCCCTGCATTCAGAGGCTTTCTTCTGAAACCCACTCCCACGTCCTCACTGGGCTTTGAGAACCTATTTACTCGTTGGTACTTGTACTGATGTGACCCTCAGGGGGCAGGCAGGGCCTGGGTCTTGTTCTGCACGGGGTCCCAGTGCTAGGTGAGTGCCCAGCACAGGGGAGCTCTCCAGCTCCATCTCTCCTGACTCCCTCCTCCCCAGGGCCGGACCACAGCCCCACCAGC